TGTAATAGGACAGGGTGAAAAGCATAAAGGAGTCCATCGCTTTACAAACTCACAGAGAAAAAAAAGAGAGGGAAACACAAAGAAAAAAAAAAGAATAGGAAAAGAAGAAGAAGAAAAGAAAAATAATAATAAATTAGACTTACAGTTAGAGAGAGACATACAACAACAACAACAACAACAAGAAAAAAAACGAAGAGTAGATATAAAAAATAGTGTATACATTTATACATATACATATATCAAGAGTAAGAAAAAAAAAAAAGAACCAACGTTGTAACGATTAGAAAAGAAAAAGAAAAAAAAAAAGAAAACATCTATTCTCTAGATTTAAACTTCAGTCCAAATGAGTTCAATCCGCTCTGGTATGATGGATGGAACTGAAAGAAGTGTAGTCTCCGGCGTTAATGAAATGGATTTTACACCCTCCTGCAGTGTGGATGATAGTCTAGATAGAAACAGCAGCTGTAGTAGTGTTCGAATGGATTATCAAAGATTAATGAATGATCACGAGCGACGAGCGGCTATACTCGAACAATATCGTCTCCTCGTAGAGAGAAGACAACAACAACAAGAAGAACAACAAAAACAAGAACAAGAACAACAACAAGAAGAAGATCGTGATTCCAGTCTACGGAAAGGGAGAGAAGAACACAAATATGGTCAATTAACACAACAGGAGGAAAAATATTTACAACCCCGCAGTCATTCCTCAAGGATTGGTGACAGTGCTCTCAGTGAACGACGAAGTGTAAATGAACGACGGGAGACGTCCGATAGTAAACGTTCCAACCGTTCATCTTCTACCACCACCACTGTTATTGTGAATACTACTACGAATATTAATACTACCAATATTACCAATATAACAAATACTATGAATACTATTAATACAACTAATACTGCTAGTCCCACTGATCCTACTCCTACTCCTACTACTAATACTACTACTACTAATACTACTGATAGTGTGAGTGTTGCTGTTGCCGATGCTGTTCATAGTAGCACGGCGGGGTATAGAACAATACGCCGTGCGAAGAGTTCATGGACGTGGACGCGGCCTCGCAATGCCCTCACCTCCACAACGGCGAGCTCAGAAGCCAAACAACGACCAAAAGTAAACTCCGCCCCAAATACACCTCGGCAAAACGAACAACAACAACAACAAAGCCGACAACGGGGACGAACCGTCACCACACGGCGATCTCCATCATCGACGGGTCCCATCTCATCCATGAGTCCATCCTTCTGGCCATCACGGGGCTCACAAGCTTCACACTCGTGTGAACCAACGGAGCCAACATCTAAATTATCACTCATGTCAACATCATCAACGCGTCCATCACGCAGAGAACCTTTCAGTGATTCAAAACGCCATACAAATGCGGAGCCTATTCATCAGGAAGAATACACATCTGGTGGTTTAACCACTACTCCAGGCACTATGGATACTGCTGCGGCGGGGTCTCCTCTAGTTGATGTTTCTCCTCCTACTCCTACTCCTACTCCTACTCCCACTACTACGACGACTACTACTACTCCTGTTGCTCCTGTGGCTGGTAGTAGTAAAATGGCGAATGAAGGACACAAGACGAATACGACTCGTCAAAGTCTCTCATTAAACTGCTCCATCTCATCATCTGAGCAAGGTGCGGTGGTGTCACCCAACCCTCAGAATACCACCACACTGGAGATTCCAACAGAGGAAGATAAGGGATACCAGGGACAAGAACCGTTGGAGTACAATAAAGGACAGACCAAATCCTTTTCCGTAAATACATTTAGAAGTGTTTCTGCAAGCACAACACCAGAGAATCTCCATTATGCCTCATATACGCAACAGAGACAAGATGATAAAAATCAGCAACAACAACAACATCAACAAGATCCATCATTTCCACATCTCTCTGATAGTATGATTCCCATGAGAGATTATGGTGAAGAGTCTTCGTTCATGACTTCCGTGACTGCTAACACCACCGATATAACATCTCCACTTTTATGGCGTTTTGCAAATCAACGAGGAGAAGGTGGAGTTGTTAATAATACTACTATTAATACTATTAATAATAATAATAATAATAATAATAATAATAATAATAATAATAATAATAATAATAATCATCATCATCATCATAATTATAATCATAATCATAATATAGATGTGAATACGTATGATACATTGATTACTCACCGTGAAATGACCAGCTGTGAAAAACATTTAGAAAGTCATGGCCGAGATTCGGAATCTCGTTCGAGAACAAAGAATACTTCCAGTATGGGTAGGACCACAGCACCGAAATTAATTATAAATACCATTTCCCATAGTATACACGACCATGATGAGCATCAAAACAGAACTCTTGCGAGTTCCGCATCGGGAGCTGATCCAGCTGGGACGACAGATGACGACAGAGCGGCCTGCATTGCTACAGTGTCGGCAGTACTGCAAGGCATTCTTGTGCAGCGACGTCGAGTGCTGCCGTGTTATTACTGCGGTGAGGCGCAGCAACTCTCTGCATATCGTCTGCATTTGGATATCTGCCGCACCCACACAGAGGCCCTTTACGCACGCTACGGTCTCAATCCACTGAGGCTAGTGATGAGTGAGCCGCAGCAGCCCATTCCAACGGTGGAGGATTCGGCAGCCGCGAGGGAGGTGTTTGCGCGGGCGTGTTATCAAAGTGTGAAGGCCTCCGTCGTGCCGTGCCCGGCCTGCAGTGAAGTCTTTCGCATTCATGATCTGCCAGAGCACCATCTTGTCTGCGGTAGTCGTCGGGGAAGTCGCCAGCGCTCCAGGTAGAAGGTAGAAGCTCAGTTTATATATATATACAGAGAGAGAAAGAGAAAGAAAAAAAGGAAGTTTCCTTTTGAGAGTGTAGAATTAGATTGTTTCCAATAGTAAGAAAAAAAAAGAAAAAGTTTAAACAAAAGAAAAATAAGAAGGGTAATGGGGAAGAGGGGCAAAAAGAAAAGAAAAAAACTCATGGTGTGTTATGGCTATACGAGAAATAGCACTCTCATCGTTACTGGCAGTATTAGAAGAAATTTATTTTATTGTATGATTTGTTTTTTTTTTTTTTTGTACTCTTACATAAGAAGAAAAAGAAAAAAAAAGAAAGAAGAAAAAGTAATATCGTGAGCCTAATATGTTTTTTTTTATTTTTATTTTTTTTTTCGCTTCTATGTGTTATCTTTTTTTTTGTTTTTTATAATTTCTTCTTCTTATGTTGGTCTTGATATATCAACTTCATTGCCAGTAGAATTTCACAATAAAAGGGAAAAGAAAAGAAAAAATAACAAAGCTCTAACATTATAATAGCGTAACGTAATTTCATTACTCTAGAGGAGAGTCATTATTAAAGAAATCTCTCTCTCTCTCTCTCTCT